TAAAACTCATAGCAACTAACATCTCACACTAGCCAGCACCTGATAGACTCTCTTAAAATGCATGCTGGGAACTCACATACTACTGCCTCAGTCCATGAGTACTGTGACTCCTACTACAGGCTCTGTTTTTGTTTCTTTTAGAGGAAGCAGAGTTGTCTTTGTCCTCATGACATTCTATTCCACATTTGAGGTTTTGCCTTTGGGAAGAATTCAGAGACATGATTTTGGGCAAAGGCATACCCTGAAGATACAGCCTAACAGAAACACAAACCTTGTATAAAATGAATTAATGATGACCGAGTTGACCTAATATTGAAACCATAGGGTTTGAAAGAATAAATACCTATTCTTCATGCTCTCTTCTGTGATAAAGATCAGGCGATCTCACTGCTACTTTGTTTCAATGGTCCTTTGCCGTTGCTGACAGGACAGTCTCTGCACCTTCTGCTTCACCTGCATCTTGGTGAGGAAGATTTGGTGGGATGGTGGCTCCCTGGTGCTCCTTGTGGGTAGATCAACACAAATTACCTTGCAGTATGACAAGGCAAAGAGTATAGACAGACCACCCTGGGTCCTAAACAAATGCTTGAGTAAGCTTGTTTACCAATGACTCAGTGATACCCCAAATTATTTTGCCCCATACTTCAAAAGCCCACTCTGGGGAAGTCAGCTGTCTTCTCTATTTGAAGGGAAGTGGTTATCCCAGCTATCTGGTTCTCTCTGTCCTCATAGCATATGCTCCAAGTAACCAAGGAGATAGCCTCTTCAGGCTTATTCACAGCTTTAGACTCAATTCAACTTGGCTACAGAGTCTACAAGCCTGTAGCTTTGTGAGTCAGGAGAAAATTGCCATAGTTAACAATCACTCCAGTCTTTTAGAGGTTCCCCAAATATCTTGAGAGGTCACTAACCATCTAACCTTCGATGGAGAACACATATAAGGGCAGAACATTGTCACCAGTCTCAACAAGTCACCTCAATGACAACTCAGGTCACACACAGCAGCTGGGAAGTACCTAAAGTTAGCCAGTATGGTTGAAGTACAGTGATGTTTTGCCATGAATTGAGCACAACTTATTAATCTCTCCCTCTTTAATGTTGGTCTCATGTTCAGTCATCAATGCCTATCCTCCAAAAGGGATGAAATCCAAGAGTTCCCAGCATAAAGCATTGGCCTTACCAGTTCCTGTCCTCTGAGTTAAAACAATTAATATCCTAGAATCCTTGAAATTCAAGAGCCACGACTAGCAGGGAAGTTCTGTTGGTTCCCAGAGACTACAACTTTCTGTTCCCCATTACTGGAAGATTCAGTTCAAGCCCACTTCCTCCAGGAAGCTTCCATTTTCCTGCACAGAACTCCTTGGACCTTTCTCTCGACCATTTCTTCCATCATGTTTTACACTGAGGCCAAAGGTCAGCTTTTTTCTGTCACTTTCTGGTCTCTCTACCCTCTCCATCTCTTTCTGAATTAGACTCTTCAGTATGCCATCATGTTCATCAGTAAATGGTGAAGGCAGTGAATAAACTTCCCAAGGACAGTGGGTATGGCCACAACATAGTGACATCACAGAGAATGCCAGGACTCTCCAGGATACAATGGAATGTCTAGGGAAGAGCTGCAGATGTCAAGGGAACTAACATTGCTTTCCTGCTAATGTGTTTTCCTCATAATACACTAGAAGTCAAGCTGACCGTTGCAGGAGCCTCTGCTGGGATAGAAAGGAAGCCCTTCAGCACCCCATTCTTCCAAAGCCAGAGTTCTCTCCCTGATTGATTGGACATCCTTTAGTTATTTCCAGGTGTGGAAGTGAATGTTTATCTCCTACTGAAATTTTATGCACACAAGGTAATAATATTATAGAAATTTATATATGATATAGTTCACAATAAGTATCTGCATCTTCTTATACCCTTAGCCACAAGACATTATAGATTTAATTCTGACTAAGAAGGACACTTGTTAAACAATTTCTTGGTAAAAAGTCTACAGTAGGAAACATCTGAGCAGA